GCGTTCTATTTCTTACAAGAGCTTACAGGTTTCACCGAAATGACCCTTATCAGATAACATGAACTTACAAAACGAACCACTACATGCTCTTCAAAATCCGAACAGCTCCTAAATGGTAAAGGGGTTCGGGTAATATAAACTCTTTTCAGGTATTTTTGAACGACGCCAGACGCAGAAATCATTCGAGAACGCCTCTTTTGCATTGGAACTCGGTAAAATGAGCTATATTGTTGGAACCTACTCAGGGCTCTACAATATTTGGCGACTTGCCTGAATCCAGGCTTCACAAGTTTGTATAGTTGCTTGTTTTTTCCTTTGTTCATAACATTGTATGTCGTGCTTTGTACTTTGGCATTATTTAAATGAGAAACGATGAAAAATGGCTGAATATTACAGGAAAGCAGGTAAAGAGAAGCTGGGGGTACGGTAGAATTGGAGCGCGCTTGTAACTGTAGCGCTGTACAGCGCGCTACAGCGCGACGAGTCTGGACGCACCTAAATGTCGTTGGCATCAAAAATAGATGTCATAATATAAATCAAAACCGTTGCTTACTTCCGATAGACTAACCGAGCAGTCGACCGACTTTCTTCACTTTCTCGTGTTGAGAGGCACCTACGAGCTCCCCCATTCCCAGATTGCAATTTTTGTTTTCTAGGTAAGGGTCAGCATATTCGTCGAGCGAGTAGCCGGTATGAGCAGAGAAAGCTTGGGATACTTGTCCACGTATCGCCACTCACTCCTATGTTATGCGTGAAGGAAACAGGTGGAAACTGTGAGATTTGCCTTTTTATATCTGATTGAACCTTTGTTACAGCTTGAATTCCTCCGGAAGGTATGCAGCATATAAAGTGCCCTCATTGAATTGTGTCTTCCGCAAGACCACTTCATCACTTCCCTTTTTGATCTCTATCTCGCACTCACATTATCATGGCTTTGTTGATTGCAGGGTTGTCCAGCTACGACCATCTTTTTCTGCAGGCCAAACACGGCCACTCTCCTCCCCGTTGAAGATTCCTCAGCGGATGCTTGGCACTGGCCTAGTATGCTTTCCTACTAGGCATATATAACGTATACTCGTAGTCAAATTATGGGTCACTACCTCTGAAATGGAGCACCCTTTGCACCTGTTTAGAAGGGGCTACAGACGCCGACTTTTTTGTAGCCTTCCGGAGTGCCAGAGAAGACAAAACAAAAACTCCTTCTCGCTAAAGAGCAGTTCGTTCATTTCATAGCTTCCGGTGTGGGCCAAAAACTACGTAATAGCAATATTGGAACTTTTTGATGTAAACCAGGACTTACTGCAATCACCGAATGAAACAACTACCTTGATGAATAATTTTCTATACAAATTCTACCATCGCTCGGCCATGCTTCTGGAGGTCCGCCATACTGAGATTCCCAAGTCGCCTGCAATAGTGATTGAGAGAATGTGGATAAAGTCTACTTTTCTTGCGTTATGTTTCTGGCAACATGATGTTGCTGTGAACATTCACTGATTATTCGGAATGAACAGTGCACTGTTTCTAGGGATTTATCCGAATCCTTGCATACAAGAAGTATTGGAAAACATTGAATTCAAAAATTTTCCAAGTAGAAACTTGCCATGAACTTTCCACCCCACAAAAATCTGTTTTTGCTCGACCCCAAACTGCGACATGGCTTCTACTACAGGTAAAACAAATTGTCGCGAATTGACAG